AGACTAAACAGTGCCACCGTCAAGGAACACTACCCTATCCCGAAGGTGGAGGACATGATTGATTCTCTTGCCGGCGCGAAATTCTTTTCAACTCTAGACTTCATCTCTGCCTATCATGCATTCGAAATCCACCCCGATGACAGAGAGAAAACAGCGTTCTCCACCAAGCAAGGACACTGGCAGTGGAAGCGGGTTCCCTTTGGGCTTTGTAATGCAGCTCCCTTCTTTGTGCGCCAGATTGCTAGTTTGTTAACAGGAATGACATGGGAAGAACTCTTGGCATTCTTTGATGATGTCCTGCTCTTTAGTCCCACCTTTGCCAAGCACTGTGAATCACTGGATCGTGCTCTTTCCCTCATTGAGGAGGCAGGGTTAAAGGTGAAGCCAGAGAAATGCCGTATTCTGCCAAAGCGCGTACCATTTGTTGGCCACATCTTATCAGAGCAAGGAATGTCCACAGACCCTGAAAAGGTGTCTGCAGTGATGTCCTGGCCTCCACCAACCACTGTGTCTGAGTTGCGTGTTTTCCTGGGCAAGGTTGGATACTACCGAAAGTTTATACCAGACTTTGCAACCCTTGCACACCCTCTGTTCCAACTAGAGGAGAAGGGGCGTCAGTTTGAGTGGTCGATCGCCTGTCAGAAGTCTTTTGATGGCCTGAAACAAGCCCTATGTGCAGCGCCTGTTCTCGGCTTTCCACAATTTGATCTTCCTTTTGTGCTAGACACTGACGCTAGCACAACAGGCGTCGCTGCCGTTTTGTCTCAAGTGCAGGATGGTGAGGAGCGCCCAGTTTCTTATGCTGCGAAGGCCCTGACAAAATCGCGGCGGAAGTGGCCCTCTACCAAGCTTGAAATGTATGCCCTTGTTGCGCGTCTAAAACATAAATGTTTTAGACGCGCAACAAGTCATTCGCTTCAATTCCTATAATTTTGATCTCCGCCTTTAAAAATAAGACATGAAGTTTCGACACTGACGGCGTTCTGAGATTGAAGCGAATGACCAAACCTCTTAAAAAATTTTCATCAAATGTGCACAAAATGTAGTCCACGTTTGACGCCATTTTAAATGTTCCTTTGCAACCCCGTGACGATATTAAGTCCTACC